ATGCGGCTGCCGGTGGAGTTCAAACTGCGCGAACTGCCGCACTTTTACGAACACCTGCGGGACTCGACGTGGTCGCTGCAAAATGTCGGCGAGGGCCGCGAGCGGGAGTTGCTGCAGCGCTTCCCACACGTCGCCCGCGTCTTTGCGGGCCTCACGAAGTGCTGTCAAGATGTGATTGTGGATATCTGCAGCCGCATGGCGAACGGCATGTGTGAGTTCCTCACTGCCCGCGTGGTGACAAGAGCGGATTACGATTTGTATTGTCATTACGTTGCCGGTCTTGTTGGCCACGGACTGACGCGATTATTTGTGGCCTGCGGCTTTGAGGATACACGGCTGTTGGAGGATTTGTCTATTCCCAATCACATGGGACTCTTTCTGCAGAAGACGAACATCATTCGCGACTTTTACGAAGATATCTGTGAAGATCCACCACGGATCTTTTGGCCACGCGAGATATGGGGACAATACACAGATGATTTAAATAACTTTAAAGGGGAGGCACAATTGCAATTGCATGAAGAAAAGGCACGTGAGTGTTTAAATGCAATGGTGGCAGATGCCCTTGTGCATGTCCCGCATGTGATTACATATATGGCCTCCCTGCAGGAACCATCTATCTTTGCTTTCTGTGCAATTCCGCAGGTGATGGCCATGGCAACACTCGCGGCAGTGTTTAATAACGCGGAGGTGTTTTACAGTAAAGTGAAGATCTCCCGCGGGGCCACGTGCAGTATTGTTGTGAATGCCACCACTCTGCAGGCCGCACTGCGGATGATGCAAACATACATCCAACAACTCGCAGACCGCGTGGGCCCTCAAGATGTGTGTTATGATGAAATCACAGAACGTGTGCGGGAGGCCGTACGTGCGATAGAAGTACATTTGCCGCCGGAGGACGATGGCGTAACTCGATCACTGCTCACACGATACCCCGCCCTCGGTGGACGACTGCTCTACTCATTGGTAGACAATATCGTGGGTTATCTTGGGAAGTAGAAAAGTGATCTGCGTTTGTCTGGGGGGATAGGGTTTTAGTCTGGTGTAGTTCTGTAATAGTAGGAAAAGTAATAGAAACACGTGGAAGAGGAAGAAGAAGAATAGGGGGATAGATAAGAGGTTGTTTGGACATCAATAAGATTGGGCAAGTATATTTAATGTGCTGGAAATGACAATTGATTGACAAGAACTAATATACATCTATATATACATCTATATATATATATTGGATGTAGAGAAGAAAAAAAGAAAGAAAGAGATTTTACGTCATATGCCAGTATATATATATATATATATA